CGATGGGAAACCACCATTTGGTTTGACTGGGGCGAACCCCTCCCCCACCCCCTGGTTGGCTTCCTTGCGCTTTCCGAGAAAGCCGCAAAGCTTTGACCTCCTGTGGTTTTGGGGCAAAGTGAAGAGGTCCCCACAAGCCCCGTAGCCCTCCCCTACCCCCTCCTCCGTTATTTTTTCCCCCATGTCTCTCCGTGTGGCCAGAAACCAAACACCAGGCGGGGTGTCTCCACTTACCCCGCGAACCAATGAGGACTTCCAACTGTTGGCACTGCTTTGCAACGAGTGGAATTTCATAATAGGAGGAACTGTTCAACAGAGATCCCAGCTACCCCACCTACCCACCTTCCCCACCCACCTGCCCGCCCCTACCTCTCTCCCCCCTCCCACATGCTGCACTTCCGCCCCCTCGCGTTTTGGCCCAAGGCCAGAATGCAACAGCACAACATTGGGGATTCGTTCTTCGGCCCACATTGATGTAGCCTTGCCGTCTCGTAAAAAAAGAAAGAGGGGAGATCTGGGGTGCTGGTGCTGGTGTGCAGTAGCAAGGCTGGCCCAACAATGATCCTGCAACAACATCCTGTACATGTTCAGCTACATGCTCCAGCCAGGAAACCGCACGCTGACTGCATTTTACGGGTTTCTCAATCACACTCCAGCAGCATCCTTCAACGGCACCCTGCAACAGTGTCCTGCACAATTCGCAATTACACTTGCCAGCAGCACCTATCGATGGGACCCTGCAACAGCACTCTGCGCGACAGCACTCTCACATCCCGCTTCGCTACTTGAAGCTAGAGCATAAAAATGCGTGAGAGCTAGTTTGCCCAGGCAAGAAGAGCGCATTACAACACGTGGCATGGCAAACAAACATGTGATGAAAAAACTAGATTGCCACCGATACGCCCTGTTGCTTTAGGGTGGTTTTGGGTGGTTTACGTTGGATTTGCGGTAGGTTCGGATTGGCGTAGGAGGAGGTTGTGGCGAGGCTGGGTGGGATTGGACTTGGCTTGGGTTGGCTTGCGAGCAGATCCAGGGGCCCGCCTGTAGGCCCAAATCGCCGCCAGCAAATACAGCAGAATCAGCACCCCCACAGTCGCCCCTGCCGCAATGGGCTGTGGGATAACCCCAATCACTCGTTGCTTCTGGTCCCGACCTCAAAGTTTTGGGTCCTTAGGCGGAGCCTCCATATTGGAGGACCTCCGTTTTGGGTTTGCATGCGTGTCCAAAGAGCACCTCTTGCCAAACTTTTTTTGGGCTTTTGGCCACCTGATCAAACAAACCAATGTAGACCTCTGCTCCACCAAGACAGGGTCTGGATGTGTTTTGCTTCTGGCATCAGTTTCCTTCTTCAAGAGAACATGGAAACAGTGGGTGTTCCTGTGTCCTTTCCAAAGAAATACCTGACTAAAAGAAATAGCCCTGACTAAATTACCAGGGCATTTTGTCACTTGCTGACATAGGAGGATTTGTCATGCATTCCACCTGCGCCCCACCAGGATCATCCGATTCGCGGGCCGGCGGACCCAGAAAAACTGGGTGGAATGGTTGAAGAAACCCAAGTCTGTTGGAAGAACCCTCGCACAAGAAAAGGCGACGTTGCCTAACATTGGCGGCTTCAGCTGGCTCGTTTTGGTGGACGCTTCCCTCTTAGTTTACCATGTTGAAAGTCAACCCTAGAGTGGTAGGATGCAGCGAACCAACCCGAGTTTCTGACTTTGATACTCCCTAGAAAGACATTGGAATAACGGGCCCAACCCCATAGAAAGGCGAGCTACCAACCCAAAAGGACAAGCCCCACAAGACTAAAACATTCAGATGCCGTGAAACGAAACCAGATGTCAATGTGTAGCCTCTGCTATATCGACTAAGCTGATGTTGTATCGTGTCGATGTCATGTATTACATGCCATCGTACAGCCCTCCTGGAACCAGACACCATGGGAATTCCCACAGCACAAAACTGGCTATCAAGATTGCTGTGGCTGGCAGCCGTCCATGCACAGGATCCATTCGTCTGCCCCGACATAAGCAGGCCGCCCGGCAAGTGTGGGGCGCATCTGTTGCTCAAGGGCATGCAAATGGATAGACGTTTGAGACTGCCAGGGTACCCCGACTGGCCCGACAAGGAATGATATTATGAATATGTTCCTCTTTACTCCACGGCTCACAACTGCCCCAACCGGCAATTTGAACTTCTGAGAGGATTCTGCTTCCAACTGCCTGTGAATGAAACATGTTCAAGGCAACTTCTCCAGGGAAGCTCCATCATTTCCAGCTGGGTTGATAAACCATTGGTCAGGTTGTCAACAGTAGCGGGCCCTTGTTTAGACGTTTGGTGGCATTGCCACCTCAAAACTCTGCTGTCATCACTTCAAGCGTTTCATTGGGGCCATCTGTTCTCATCACCTAAAGGACGTGTATTTCAACAAGGCCCACAAGGTGATCCTTAAATCATCCGAAAAGGGAACTATCATCGCGGCCAATGACATACAACGACTCTG